AAAAAAAATTAAAAAAAAAAAAAATAAAACACACACAGAGGTGTGTGTGGTTCCATAGTGATAGTGTGGACCGGATGCAGTAGAGAAAAGAATGAAGAAATGGGGCATTTGTCCAAATGTAACAAAAGCAATAGAAGCCAGGCTGTGCACAATGTCTTGAAAGAAAAAAAGCAAAACAAAACTTCTAGCGTGAATGACATCAGATAATAGATGAGACTTTTGTAGGACAGACAGAGTCTCCTTTGGGACTATAGAGAAAAATGACTTTGTTTTGGAAATTGACAGCCTTCTGCATTTTCTTTTTGTTCCTCGGTTTATTCATCCATTCCTTCTTGTAAAAATATATTAACTAGGGGCACCTGGATGGATCAGTCGGATGGGCATCTGATTTTGGCTCAGGTCACGATCTCATGGTTCACCTGTTTGAGCCCCGAGTCAGGTTCTGTGCTGACAGCTTGGAGCCTGGAACCTGCTTTGGATTCTGTGTATCCCTCTCTCTCTGCCCCTCCCCAACTAGCGCCTGGTCTCTGTCTCAAAAATAAATAAAAGCCTTAAAAAAATAAAAATATATTAACTTTACTAGAATTAAAATTTAAACACTGACTCTTGATTTTGGCTCAGGTCATGATCTCATGGTTCATGAGATCAAGCCCTGCGTAGGGCTCTGTACTGACAACACAGCCTGCTTGAGATTCTCTCTCTGCCTCTCTCTGTCAGTCTCAAAATAAATGAACTTAAAAAAATTTTTTTTAAATAAATAAAATAAATTTAATTGAGCGTAAGCTCAAATTAAATCCCCAAACTGAGAACCCAGACCTTATTTAGGGGTTAAGGGAGGAATCCATGGGGATGAAGCGTTTGTTTGGAGTCCTAACAGATAAAACAAATGTTATCCAGGAAACAGGAGGAATAGCAAAGTAGGAGGGCATCCCAGGAAGAAAGAACTATTTGTGCAAAGGCCCTGTGGCAGAAAAATCTTTGAGGCAGATGTAGCTAGAGGTTAGGAGAAGAGGGAGTGACCCCAGTGAGCCCAGTGAGCCCAGATAGAAGAGCAGACTCAGATGATGGTGAGGAACACAGGACTCACCGGAGGGTCTGGAGTCTACACTGGGGATGCCTGAGGCCCTCACACAGCAGCAGCACCCCGGGGTCCCCCAGGTCATTCAGGCTTAGGTCCAGCTCCCTCAGGCTGCAGTTCACACTGAGGATGGACGTAAGGTCCTCACAGGCAGCAGCAGTAAGGTCGCAAATCTTCAACCTGTAGGAAATCCAATCCAACACGTATTATGAGTGTTTTCTATACAATGCTAATTTTATCTCCCCTACCCCCAATCTTAAAAGTAATGCATTTTCTTTTTTTAACATATTTTTTTTAATGTTTCATTTCATTTTATTTTCGAGAGAGACAGAGTGAGCAGGGAAGGGCAGAGAGAGAGAAAGACACAGAATCAGAAGCAGGCTCCAGACACTGAGCGTGTCAGCACAGAGCCAGATGTGGGGCTCGAACCCACGAACCGTGAGATCATGACCTGAGCCGAAGTCGGACGCTTAGCCAACTGAGCCACCCAGGCGCCCCAAAAGTAATGCATTTTCAAAGGAACAACTCATTGTTTAAAAACGGGCAAAAGTGTGAGTAGACATTTCTTTGCAGAAAATAAACAAACGGTCCAAAATCACACGAAAAGATGCTCAGCATCGCTAATCATTAGGAAAACGCGAATCAAAACCACCAGGACGTACCACATCACATCCATTAGGACAGCTATTGTAAAAAATAATAATAACGTTTTTTTACGAATTTCAAAAGGACCCTGAACACCACGAATGTTGGCAAGGGTGTGAAGGAATTAACTTTATGCACTGTTGGTAGGAAGGAATAATGGTGAAGTGAGTGTGGGAAACAATATGGCAGCTCCACAAAAAATTAAACACAACCCTATGCTCCATCCATTCCACTTCTGATTACATAGCCCAAAGATTGAAAGTAAGCGCTCAAAATAATATTTGTGGCTCAATGTTTACAGCATTTTTCAAAATAGCCAAAAGGCAGAAGCACTCCAAGTGTCCACCAAGGGATGAACCGAATGGATTCAACTGTGGTATATCCACGTAACGTGATGTTATTCTGCCTTAAGAAGGAAGGAACTTTTAACGCAGCGATGTGAATGAAAGTTGAAAAGATACTAAGTAAAAGAAGCCAGACACACACACACACACACACACACACACACACACACACACACAGAGCACACAAATATTTTGTGATTCTAGTTACATCAGGTACCTACAGTGGTCAAATACCATAAAGACAGAAAGTAGAATGGAGGTTATCAGGGGCGGGGGCAGGCAGATGGGGAGGCGGTGTTTAATGGACAGTCTCACTGTTGCAAGATAAAAAAGTTCAGGCGATGGATGGTGGTGATGCTTTGCACAACAGTGTGAATAGCTTAATAGTCTTTAAGTGAATAGTGAATAGTGAATAGTGAATAGTCTTCATAGCTTAAGACCATGAAGCTGTATGCTTCAGAATGGCAAAATAGAAGGCATGCCTGGCTGGCTCAGCCAGTAGAGCACACGGCTCTTGATCTCTGGGTCGTGAGTTTGAGCCTCACGTTGAGTGTAGAGATTACTTTTTATTTATGTATTTTGAGAGGGGGAGGGGCAGTGAGAGGGGAGAGAGAATCAAGCAGGCTCTGCGGTGTCAGCACAGAGCCCGACGTGGGGCTCGAACCCACGAACCGTGAGATCGTGACCTGAGCTGAAATCAAGAGTCGGACGTTCAAGCGACTGAGCCATCCGGGCGCCCTGAAATTACCTAAAAAATGATAAGATGGTAAATTTTATGATACGTGTATTTTATTTTCTTTTTTCAGTGTGATGCATTTTCTTGGCTAAAGTAATCCAGAAAATACAGAACAGCATTTCTGTGCTCATCGTGTGTGATTCCTCAACCTGTCTTTGATGCTCCGCCATAAATTAGCGGTAATGTGTTTGGGATGCACCTGAACTGATAGAAGTACAGAGCAGGAAAACACTATTGCCCCAAAACCCACTCCTCAAAGGTGTCCTCCGTTGACATTTAGCACAGTGTCTTCCTATATATAGAAAGAGAAGACAGAGACGGAGTCCTGGATTTACCACGTGAGACCCCGGACCCAGCTGTGCCTGAAACCAGTCTTTCCCTCTGGACTTCTCGGTGACAGAAACCAACAAACTCACTCTCGTCTCCAGCCACACTGAGATGAGGTGTCTGTCCGGACAACCACAGGGATTTTTGTGGATGCCTTTATTGCAGGGAGCTCTGTGGAAGTTAACACTGATGTTAGTATTGGGGCGCCTGTGTGGCTCAGTCAGTTAAGCGTCCTACTTCAGACCGGGTCACGATCTCGCGGTCCATGAGTTCGAGCCCCACATCAGGCTCTGGGCTGATGGCTCAGAGCCTGGAGCCTGCTTCTGATTCTGTGTCTCCCTCTCTCTCTGCCCCTCCCCCGTTCATGCTCTGTCTCTCTCTGTCTCAAAAATAAATAGACGTTAAAAAAATTAAAAAAAAAAAACAAAAACCCACTGATGTTAGTATTGCCTTGATGCTTATTTATTTATGATTTATTGTGGTAAAATATATGTGACACAGGGCGCCTGGGTGGCTCAGTGGGTTAAGCGTCCGACTTCGGCTCAGGTCATGATCCCACGGTTCATGAGTTCGAGCCCCGCATCGGGCTCTGTGCTGACAGCTTGGAGCCTGGAGCCTGCTTCAGATTCTGTGTCTCCCTCTCTCTCTGCCCCTCCCCCACTCATTCATGTTCTGTCTCTGTCTCTGTCAAAAAAAATAAATAAATAAAAATAAAAAATAAAAAAATATCTATGTATGTATAAATGACATCAAATTTACCATCCTAACCTTTTCTTTTTTTGGCCCCATGAAGAACTCACCACAGGATCCGCAGTCTACACACTGGATGCCTCAAGCCTTGGCATAACAGCCTCAGACCCAAATCCTCCAGCGAATTCCCCGCCAGGTCCAACTCCACTAGATGCTGATTGGTGCTGAGCACAGAGGCGATCTCCTGGCAAGCACCGGCCTCCAGCTCACACTTCCTCAACCTCGGGAGGGAAGAGACGTTGAAGAGGCTGCCATCTTGCTTTCCTGGCTCCTCCCCTGGCCCATCCAGTCACCCAACACGAACCTACACATGTCACCACGGCTCAGAGATGAACAAGAGGCCATCGTCTCCAGCAGGAGCATCCTGTCTAACGAGGCAAAGGGCTAAGCAATTATACTCCAGGGAAGGCAGTGCCATTGAGGCAGGAGTGAGCCACAGCTCACGGCAGGATCTCCAGAGCTCAAGGTCTGGGTGGGTCTATCCCTGCCACTCTGCACCCTCAGGCAAAGTGTCTGCAAGTCTGTTTCATGTTTCACGTGCTGCCTTAGGTTCACTGCCTGTAATATAAGGATGATGGTCGCACCTGCTTCCTAAGTTTCTTGCGAGGAGCACAAAATTTGCTAAGCGGACAGGATGTAGAACCACACCTGACACACAACAGGTGCTGGGACGGTGAGCTACTGTCGATTAAAACCATCGTGAGGGGCGCCTGAGTGGCTCAGTCGGTTGAGCGTCCGACTTCGGCTCAGGTCACGATCTCACGGTCCGTGAGTTCAAGCCCCGCATCAGCCATCTGGGCTGATGGCTCAGAGCCTGGAGCCTGCTTCTGATTCTGTGTCTCCCTGTCTCTCTGCCCCTCCCCCCTTCATGCTCTGTCTCTCTCTGTCTCAAAAATAAATAAATGTTAAAAAAAAATTAAAAAAAAAAAAAAAAAACCATCGTGGTGGGGCACCTGGGTGGCTCAGTGGGTGAAGCGTCCGACTCTTGGTTTCAGCTCAGGTCATGATCTCAAGGGTTCGTGAGTTCGAGCCTCAAGTCAGGCTCTGTGCTGACAGTGTGGAGCCTGCTTGGGATTCTCTCTGCCTGTCTCTCTTTCTCCAATCTCTCTCTCAAAATAAATAAATAAACATTAAAAATACAATACAATACAATACAATAAAACCTAACTCATGTTTGGCAACCTGTGCACAGTTAGGGAAGACTCTCTGAGGGGTTAGGATGGTTCTCAAAGGCTAAGTAGGAGTTCCCTCGGAGGAATAAGATGGGACGTGGTAAGAGATCATAGAAAATATATATACTGATCTCTGCCTCTGTTCCCAGCACAGAGCTCCTGAATCCCTGTAATTCCTAAGTGGTAAGAACACCAGGATTGCGTCTTGGGATGGGTGGGCTCCCGGATTGGCCTGGGCACCAGAGAGGCCAAGCCCTGATGAGAAGCTTAGAACGTTCAGCCCTGCCCCACCCCCCTCCTCCAGAAGGGACTGGAAATGGAGTAATGATCCATTCACCACAGGAGGAAGGCTCCCTAAAACCCCAATAGCGGGGCACCTGGGTGGTTTAGTTGGTGAAGCAAACAGACTTCAGCTCAGCTCATGATCTCACAGTTCGTGGGTTCGAGTCCCGCTTCAGATGAGCCCCACTTCTCCCTCTCTCTCTCCCTGCCCCTCACTCACTTGTGCTCTCTCTCTCTGTTTGTCTCGCAAAAAACAAACAAGCAAAAACAAACGATAGCACATGGTTGGGAGATTCCAGGCTGGTGAACACATCCACCCCATCCTCACCGGGAGGGTGGTGCACCCAGCCCCGTGAGGACAGAAACTCCTGCTCTCGGGACCCTCCCAGACCTCCTCCCATGCACCTCTCCCCCTGGCTTTCAACTGTATCCTGTATCATACAGGATCATTAGTTATCATCAACCTAATAAACTGAGAAACCTAAGTGTTTCTCGGGAGTTCTATGAGCCACTCTGGGAAATTAATCAAACCTGGGGCAGGGGGTGGGATAGAAGCCAGGTGACAACTTGGATTT